TTACACTGTTGAATCGCCCAACGGGTCTCCTCTCAGGGAAGTGGTGATATCTGAAGAATTGACTTCACGAAGACAGTTTGAGAAGCTGGAAAAAATGGAGGACAGGGCCACTAATAGAATGAAGAAGCGTGACCTTGAAGGTAAAAATATGCTCAACACAAAAAACCAATTCTCTGTGTTATCTAATACTGAAATTGTCTTGCGTGCCTCCCTTATGGGAGTTCAAATTCCTGATGACAACTTTGCTACTGTTGATGTTATCCGTGAGCTAGAAATTTCTAGGAATTTACTTCTAGATAAGAAAAATGAAAAGGATCCTCCCAAGATCATTATTAATGATGGGTTGGGCAACAGTGTTCCATTATCCTTGACATGGGAAGAAGATAAAGATGAGGAGGAACCTTTTATTCTTGTCCAATCCAAACAAAAGAAAAAAAGAAACCAGAGAAGACGAACAGTGGTCATTTCGCCCCATAAAGACCCTGTTAGACCCATGACTAGAAGTCAGAAGAAGGAGGAGGGGGAGGGTAAGGCTGCTAAGAATCATGGCAGACCTACCAGGGTGAGAGATAAACCTGATCGTTATAAATGATTGGCCTCTTTTGGAATTGTAGGGGGGCAGGTAAGAAGGGCATGTCTACCTGTCTCACTGATCTGATCAATGCCAATGAGGTGGATTTCATTGGGTTGCAGGAAACCATGAAGAGTAGTTATACTCCTTCTTTTTTTAGAAAATTAGATCCACACCAAAGATTTATGTGGGAATGGAACCCTTCTAGGGGGAAATCTGGGGGAATCCTTTGTGGGGTCAATAAGGATAAGTTCGACATCATGGAAGTGGAACATGGGAGATACATTTTGCAAGTTAAACTCTTTGATAAGAGCAGAAGTTGCAATTGGGTGCTGATGGTAGTTTATGGGGCGGCTCAGGATGAGAATAAACCAGAATTTATAGCAGAGATGTCATCTATGTGCCATAAAATCTCTGTTCCTTATATAGTTGGAGGGGACTTTAACATCATTCGTCACAGTGGAGAGAAGAACAAAAGAACCCCTTTATCTCATTTCTCTGATGTCTTTAACTCAGTTATACACCTGCTGGGGCTGAGAGAGATTCATATGTCAGGTGGCTGTTACACCTGGTCGAACAAACAGGAACACCCTACCCTAGAAAAGCTGGATAGAGTTTTAATGTCTTCAGACTGAGAAGATCTTTATCCCCTTGTCTCTGTTAAAAAGCTAGTTAAGAAGATCTCTGACCATAATCCCTTACTATTGGATGGGGGAGTGGCTGCTCCTAGAGCACCTGGTAGCAGATGCTTTAAGTTTGATAACGCTTGGCTGAGCAATCCTGAGTTTCTTCCTCTAGTAGCTGCTATCTGGGCGCAGCCTGTTTACACTAGTGACCCTATTGATGTTTTAAATATCAAGTTGAAAAGAATTAAGAAATTCTTCAAAGGATGGGGGTCCAACATTTTTGGTCAGTATAAAATTAGGAAAAATCTTATCAGGCTCGAGCTTCAGGAGCTGGAGAAAATGGAAGAAGAAAATGACCTGTGTGGGGAGGCCTATACTAGGAAGTTGAATATTCTAGTAGAGCTTAATAACATGTATACTGAGGAAGAGACCCATTGGCACCAGTTTTCGAGTGGGAGATGGCTTCTAAAAGGAGACAACAACACTGGCTTCTTTCACAGGGTAGCCAATGGGCGTCGTAGGAAAAATTCCATGGTTTCATTGGAGTGTGGCTTCGTGGTTATAGAAGGGACCAAAAACCTGCTTTCTCATGCTACCAATTACTACAGAGAGTTGTTTGGACCAGCCCCTGGCAACATTTGCCATATCGACGCCTCATTATGGTCCCAGGATGAAAACATCATGCCTGAGGATAATGAGTACCTAACCCGCCCTTTTTCTCTTGAAGAAATCAAGACGGCACTGTTTGCGATGAAACCTAATCGTGCCCCTGGACCGGATAATATTCCTGCGGAATTCTATCAACATTGCTGGGGCGTTGTGAGTCCAGAGTTGTTCAATCTCTTTGAGTGGTTCTATGAGGGAAAATTAGATGTTCAACGCTTGAACTATGGGGTTATCACGCTGCTCCCTAAATCTGCGGAGGCAAATAGGATACAGCAGTATCGACCTATTTGCTTGCTGCGATGCCCATACAAACTGATCACGAAAGCTATGGATCTTAGGGCTGCGAAAGTTGCTAGCAAAATTTTTAGCATCCAGCAGAATGCCTTCATTAAGGGGAGACACATTGTGGATGGCATCCTATCTTTGCATGAGGTGCTGCACTATACTCATGTGAAAAAAGATGTGGGAGTGATATTTAAGATTGACTTTGAGAAAGCCTATGACAAAGTCAACTGGGAATTCCTTCTGGATTGTCATGTTAAACGAGGCTTTAATTCAAAATGGTGCGGGTGGGTGTCTCAAATCCTTAAGAATGGCACGGTTAGTGTAAAGATCAATGACGAGATAGGGCCCTATATCCAGAGCGCTAAAGGGGTGAGACAAGGTGACCCACACTCTCCGTTTCTTTTTAATCTTGCGGCAGAATGCCTGACTAAGATGGTCATTTCAGCCCAAAAAAATAATCTCATTAAGGGGCTTGCTTTTGGGTTGGTAGAAGGAGGGGTAGGCATCCTGCAGTATGCAGACGATACTGTCCTGTGCTTCGAACATGATGTTGACAAAGCTATCAACATTAAGCTGTTGTTGTATCTTTTCGAACTTATGTCTGGCTTAAAAATTAACTATGATAAGAGCGAAGTGTTTGTGGTGGGAGGGGATAATGACACGGACAGCATATATGCTGATCTGTTTGGCTGTCGTGTGGGATCTTTACCTATGAAATATTTAGGAGTTCCAGTTACTTATTCCACTCTTAAGAACATTGAGTTGGATTCCCTGGATGTTAAAATGGTCAAGAAACTGGATGCATGGGTGGCATATGCAGCCTCCTCTGGTGCTAGGCTCACCTTGCTTGATTCTAGTTTGGATGGTATCCCATCTTACTTGATGTCGATGTTCCTTTTCAACAAAACATTGATAGAAAAGATTAACAAACATCGCAGACGTTTCTTTTGGAGGAGGAAGAATAAGAAGCGTGCTTATCATATGGTTAAATGGGCTAGAATTTGCCGATCGAGAAATATTGGTGGCTTGGGCATAAAAGACCTTCACAAACAAAATATCAGCCTACTTGTGAAGTGGTGGTGGAAACTGGAAACTGGTGATGGGTTATGGCAACGCATCATCCGGGCAAGATATTTCAGAAACAAAACGGTCGCGAACATTCGCAGCCGCTTCTCTGACTCTCCCTGTTGGAAATCTATCATGAAGGTCAAAGACGTTTATATGGCCGGGAGAAGAGTCAATATTAACAAGGGGGACCTGGCAAGGGTTTGGCATGACCCATGGGTGGAAAATGATATCATGCGGGAACGTTTCCCTGTTTTGTATGATATCTGTCAAGATCAAGATTGTTCTATCGCCTCTTTTGTAGACAATGAATATAATCTTCCCTTGAGACGTAGACTCTTTGGAGAGCTGGAGGAACAATGGAAGTGGATGGTGTGTGAGGCTAAGAAGTTGCATCTGAATGAGAACCCTGATGCTATTTCCTGGTCTCTGAATAGGGGAGGTAGATTCACCACTAAATCTGTATATAAGTGGCTGGAGAGAGACTTATCTGGCCCTAATTATAAGTGGGTATGGAAAGCGACTATCCCATTGAAAATTAAAATTTTCCTATGGCAATTATTCCAAAATGCTGTTCTCACGCGCGATAACATGCGGCGGAGGAATTGGCCAGGGAACCCGGTGTGCTCTTTTTGTACTAATGTGGAAACTGCTAACCATCTTTTTTTCACTTGCCCTCTCGCCCGCACAGTTTGGGGGGTGCTGGGGTGGACTGTTGGGGCCTCCTGTGCTCCCAGGTCAATATGGCAAAGTCTGGCTTGGATGTATAATTTGTTCCCTGGAGGCAAAAAATTCTATATGATGGTCATTGCAGCAGTATGCTGGGGAATTTGGTGCCTTCGCAACAAAACTACTTTTGATAAGTATAATGCTCATTCTCCGCTGGAGGCTGTCTTCACCGCTTGCTCTTTTATGTTATACTGGGCAGGGTTGCTTAAGGAGGATGACAGGAGGAAATTCCAGGATGGCGTGAAGAGACTGGCTCATGTGGCAGCGGCGCTGGCGGACAGACCTTATGCGCGTGGCAGGCTTCTGCTGGGAGATGGTGATGGCATACAGATTGGTTAGATCATGATAGTCTCATCTTAGCTTAGCCTTATATCCACTGGGGTTTGATGCCCGCTGGATCGCTCCTTTTGGTGTTGATTATCCTATCCTCTCAAGGCTAGACTCTAGTCAGGTTAAATCTGTAGCAAGCTTTGGTTGATTGTGTCGTCAGGTTTTCGCCCCACGGCTGATAGTCCGCTTTAGGGCTATCATGCAGTGGGTTTCCTGGCGATGCACCAACCCGCTCTTCCCCTTTCAGTCTCCTTTGCTTGGTAGTTGGTCTTATTCGGCTCGATGCTCATTTTGTGTTGCTCTCCAAACAACAGTAACAGACTGATGTATTTCCGTTGATTGCAAAATTAATGGAAAGGGGTGTGAGCCCGGTTGGAAAAAAAGGAATATTATCTAATGAATTAGCCGCCCGCGTCCCATCAGGCAAAATAGTTAGGGTCAAACGATGTGATATGCCTTGCTCATTACTAACATTGCAGTAAGTGTAGTGGCTAATGATCGATGCGATGCTCAAGCCTGAAATTTACCTTCGTCTCCCTCCACCAATAACTGAGATGGGATTCGGATTCCGATCAACACCCCTCGCAGCCTGCAGATAGATAGAAACGAATAAAGTCACGAGCTGCTGCGTGGATTGGATCAACTCAACTATAAAAGGAGGCACGACCGCGAGAAAACTGCAAGGACTAAGCTGGTTCTGAGCTGCTAGACACCATATAGCATAGGCCATGCCGATAAGGAGCGCCCCGTGTGCGTGGACGGTGGAAGAATTCAAGAAGTGGGTCGACGTGAGCGGCGACGGCCGGATCAGCAAGGCCGAGCTCCGCCAGGCCATCCGCCGCCGGGGCTGCTGGTTCGCCACCGTTAGGGCCGGCCGCGCCATCCGCCGCGCCGACAGGGACCACAACGGCTACGTCGACGACGCGGAGCTCGAGAACCTCGTCGCTTTCGCGCGGGAACACCTCGGCATGAACATCTCTCCCCGTTAGCTAGCTCGCTAGAGCGTTACCAGTTCAGCCTAATGCCCAGTATGGTAACATAGTATCTAAGCCTAGCATCGTGTGATGGGTTCAACTTGACATGCCAACTTCTCCTGAATAATATGTGTAAATCCAGGAGAATTTTTTAAGGTTTGTTACGACGACGTCGTCTGCTACTATGTATGCAGTTGCTTAATTGTGAGTGTTTGTGCCGTAAATTTTGAAAGTTGCATGAAGTGCTCAATATATACAGATTGTCCTTGTGGCTTGCGTATTTTGTCTACGGACGTCCTGGCTGCTGGGGATGGCCGCGTCTTCTTTGACTGCTTGATGCCGAAACCGCACCCCAACTTTGCAGGGACTGCTTTCAGGACCGCCACTTTATTATGTTATCTTTGTCGTGAAATACGGAATGGACATATGAATACTGCATCTTTTTGTTGATGGATTACACACAGTTGTTTTGCCTAGTCACCCTCCTCCAGCATTTTAGCTCAGTTGTCCACTTTGAAGTCCAGTCTTAATATTAACCTGACGACATATCCTCGACAAATGTATTTCACGATGCTACTACCTTGCTGCACAACGATACACTGACGTTCAAGAAAACAAGCATGCCATTCCACAAGAGGCAGGATTAAGCAATTATTTCCTGCATACTGAAAAGACACCGCCCATGGCGAAATCCATCTTTGGTGGGTCGGGACTGCGCCATCAGAAATGAGCCCACATCCACAACTCTGATGATCTTCGCCTTGTCGTCCATTCCTAACGATTTTCGTGGTCTAGCACCACCTGAGGTGAAGGCATGTTTCAGGCGGTCCAGTTAGCACTTCAGAGACAGGTTTCTGTAGTAGCGTTGGAAAGAACTTGGGACATTCTTGAGCAACCGTGGTAGAATCTCCCAGGACTGTTTATTTAACAGGTGCCTGCAAAAAACGTTTCATCGGTCATTTTATTTTCTGTTCATCCGATCTGCATCTAACCGCTCAGAGGTCGTCTTCTTTCGCTCAAGCGTCTTCCTCATCCACCCACGATCTGATCCATCCTTCTGTGCAACCGTCGGCCAACCGGTGCAAACCTCCGGCGATCCCCTGCAGTCCCATCCCTAAGATAGTAATGGGGTTGTAGTTTCCCACTAAGATAGATAGTGAGGCCATGGCTTCCCTCCAAGATAGATAGTTGGTTTGTTCTTCTCCGGCGAGGTTGGGAAGAAGGAAGAAAGAAGGAAGAAATGACTGATGCAAGTGCAACATAAAATTTTAGGTACGCGAGAAATAGCAAAACCAAAACCTCCCTAATGTTTCCTTCCTGGATTGGTGGGTCAATGGAGAATCTCTTTCATGCACGGGCCCTACCACATTGCTACTTCCCCGACTTCCAATTTATTCTCAAGCGAACTAATACGCTTTCTGGTCGCTGCAAGCATATAGGAATATGATCTAATGAGGTAAATGCAGCCCATCAGTCAAAAGAGCCACAGTTGAACAGTGCAATGTACTAATATGCATAAACTTGCGCTTACCGCTTACTACTAGCCTTGCATGCATTCCGTGTAGTGAGTAGTGACTAGGTCGGACACAAGCCTGAAATTCAGCTAGGTCGGACTCCACCAAGAAATGAGATACGATTGAGATCACCGACCCGTCGCAACCTGCAGATATAAACGAATAAAGCCACGAGATACGTGGGTGAAACGATCCAACTATAAAAGGAGGCGAGAGGCTTCGAACCATCCATGCACCTGCCTAGCACAGTCGTCAAGGACTAGCTGGCTCTGAGCCTGCAAACATCGATGGCCATGGCAGCGCGGAGGTGGCTGCTCTGGCCGAGAGGGACCACGGTGGAGCAATTCAAGGAGTGGCTGAAGCAGTTCGACGTGGACGGCGACGGCCGGATCAGCAAGGCGGAGCTCCGCCAGGCCATCCGCCGCCGGGGCTGCTGGTTCGCCACCCTCAGGGCTGGGCGAGCCCTCCGCCACGCCGACAGGGACAAGAGCGGCTACATCGAAGACGCCGAGATTGAGAATCTCGTCGCGTTCGCGCAGAAAGACCTCGGCATGAAGATCTCTCCATGGTAGCTAATTCGGTTTATTGACCAAAACTAGTGGGCACTCTAGTACCACCTTGAGTCGTGTGCTATAGTTTCAAGTTTCAACTTTGACATGGCAAATTCTCCTGAATAATGTGTGTAAAATCAGGAGAATCAATAAAGCTTTGCTACTGTGCAGTTGGCTAATTATGAGTGTATGAATGTGTGCTTGTTATATATACTTAAGATAACTAGAATCTACTAAAGTGCTTCTAGTGATGACAATTTTATCAACTGAACTGGTATGCGTGTTATTCCCTGAAACGCCGTCAGCCAAGTAATGACTTCTCAGATGATTTAGCGTTTTGGCATACAAGAGTTTCAAGAAAATATAAACCAACCAAGAAATTCAGTGACAAACTGTAACAGACTAGAAAAGGAATATAAACTTCAGTTTTCAGGACAGCATGGAAAGTACTGCAAATAATACTAGAGGTTCAGAGTATACATGGGATAACTTAAAGCACAGCAGCCACCAGATATTAAAGGTCCAAAATATGAACAGCCTGGAGTTTCACAGATGATAAAAGAACCTCAAATTTGGCTAGGCTCTTGATTCTTCTGAGCGTGTCTTTGTTGCTTCATTGTCTGCAACTGATTCATCTTCAGTTGTGCACTGTTGCCCTTCATCGACAACGGCAGTTTGTACGCAGTCCGGCAACAGATAAACAGGAAAACCACGTTCCAATCTTTTGTCGGGGATCCAAGTTGGTGTTTCACGTTCAAATGGTCTGATATCTCTGTAGTAGCGTGGTAAATTTTTTCTGTAGTTGCGTGAGAACTCATTGAATTTTTTACTCCAGGTCCTGCCTAGACAAGTCAGGCTGTAGTATGGGGACATGTATTCAGCAGTGCTAACCCCAATATGACAACAGACGGCAATGACATGAGAGCAAGGCTTGTGAAGCAGCTGCGGCTTGTTGCGTGAACAGGTAGCAGTTTTTCGAGCTGTGGATCCTTTAGACTTATCCATGTTGTGGGTATATTCCGACTTCATGTTTACGGTAACCTGCCTCTGCCTCGACTTCACCGTAAATTTCAGAGCCTCTTCACCCACAAGAACTTGATGCATCTCGGCTTTCTGCATTTTGGAGTTCATGTCATCCTGGACACGTTCTGGTAAACTGACTGAAGGGTTGCCGGTTGCTTTGTTTGCTGCGGCACCTGTGTTTTTGAAGTACTCTTCCAAGCGTAGGAATGTCACCTCCACCATCGCACTGAGTGGAAGGCAAGTTATACCTTTCAATACAGGATCGTTCTTATATACATCAGTTATATCAGTGCCCATGATACCATATCTTGCTCCGTTGCGATCATGCACCAGTGACCACTTCTCCATTGGTTTCAGACGAATCCAATCAGAGAACTTTGTTATCTTTCCATTGCTATCATTGGCACGATCTCCTTCCATCCCATCCTCCACTGAATCAGGCTGGCTGAATGGGCTTTGCTCCTGAAGCTCTGCATCATCATGCTTGACTGACCCCTGCTGCACTTCCTCACTAGCACCAGATTCTTTCTCTGCCATATATTTGGATGTCAACTCGTCGAGCTCCTTCCAGAGTTTATCGAATTTATGCTGTCGCTTCTGCTGGCAAAGTTTCTTGAACATCATCACCAGGTTCTCGTCGCCAAAATATGCATAGAAGTTTTCAGCAAGATGTTCCATGCACCACCGGCTTTCTGCTTTCAGCCCTTGTCGTCGACGGGAATTCAGAAGATCCTCTACGGCATCGATCAACTCCCTTTTGTAGTCGTGTATAATATAATGCAGACATCAGCTTGATCAACCACTGCTCGCCCCAAATTCCTAAGAAACCACAGCCAGCTTTCCTTTGTCTCGCACTCAACGATGGCATATGCTATTGGAACAGAGAAATCATTAGCATCTAATGCTACGGCCGTCAACAGCGCCCCTTGATATTTACCGCATAGCGGTGTGCCTTTAATGCACAGCACAGGGCGACAGGTAATGAAGGCCTGTAAGCATTGTCCAAACACCCAAAATATACGCCGGAGGACTCGAAAATCCTTACACCCTGCAACCTCTGCATCCTTGATGTCTACAAAACCACCAGGGTTTTTACGTGCTATTTCCTTGAGTAACCTCGGGGCAAAGTTGTATGAATCATAAAAGGTACCGAATTCCTTCTCCAGAGCCATCTGTCTTGCCCTCCACGCCTCAGCGGGAGTAACCTGCTCGCCGTAGTGACCAGTGAGATAAACTGCCATTTCCTCAGCAGTAACTGCCAGGTGTTCCTTAAGGTAGCGGAAGCTGAATTCACACCTTGCCAGGCTTTCTGTCCCAGGCAACACAACAGGCACCTGTTGAGAGTAATCATCATTTATGGCTTTGAGCAATATGTCATGGTGCCTGATCTCAGAGGATTCCACGTACAACATGAACTTCTGCGAATCTGCGCTACATTTCTCTTTTTCTTCAATTTATTGGCAAAGGAACTCCAGTATTTATCGCCATAGAATTCATGGGTGTCCCACCGGTAGTACTCCAAATACCAGTCCGGATCCTCTTCGTCATACGGGTCATTTTTGTGTTGTTTGAGGAACCCCTTAATACGGAGATCTTGTGTTTCTGGATGGAGCCTGAACAGCTTGAAGACCCAGAGCTGCAGATCCACCAGTGACATCGACTGTGGCTGCAGCGGTAGCTCGCCGATTATGTGTGCACATATGTTTTCTGCATAAATGGCTGGGCAATCTTGAACTAAATCATCGCCGTGCACGCTTGAAAAATCTCCTTTTCTACACCCGTAGTACACAGGGATCTGAATCGGTTCTTCAACCTACCAACATTCAGACGAATCAGACTACCAAACAATGCCACGACATTCAGACGAATCAGACTACCAAGCAAGATTGCCGCGGGGAGGGGGTTGGTGGGTGCAGTGAAGTACAGA